ATTCTCAATCAGTCATTTAGTCCATAAAATGTCAGAAAAAATTAACCATTACAAAACATTACCGTTACAATTTCCTAGATGACATATTCAAACAACGGTCTAAAGCTCAAAGATGGTGTGTTTGAAAGCACAGAGCAATCCAAAGACCCACAGGTGGCAGGAGATTTCATTAGGGTCGGTCGAATAAATTAGCAGAATGTCTTCCGTGGTCTTTTATTTAACATTCATATCTGCAGTTCACTTTAGAGCCACGTGAGGGAGCCTGAATGTTCGTATTGATCTGATAATTGTAGCTACTGATAACATTAAATCTAGCATGAAAGAGTACAATCTCTTTAATGAGTGAGATCATCATATAATAACTTTAGGTAGCTGAATGCATTTATCTGGTCTGATTTATAAAGTATCTGATGTGTGTATATGTGTTTAATAACGCATGCAAAAATCAAGGTTGTGATTTATTCAACATATATCTCAACCGGGTTGGGAACGTTCATTGACGCACACATTAGCTCTGCTCACGATTTATAGAAAAGGCCTCTTGTGATGTGGGTCGCAGTGGTTCTCCAGAAATAACGTTTGGGAGAACCAACAAATATCTGCTTTAAAGAAGCTGGAACCAGTGAAATTTTATTCATCAAAATTGTCAACACATTTTCTGTCACTTGACTTACATTAAATTTAGCAATTCACTTCTACTTCATGTTTTTCTCCAATGTTAGACATTTAAAACAGAGGTGCTCGATGTTGGGCCTGCAGAACACCTAAAGGGGTCCAAAGTGAAATATTGCTTTAAAGGGAAACTAAAGTTCAGCTAAAGTGTAGTTTATGTTCACTATGAAATAGTTTCACTCTCAATATTTAGTTAAGATATCATTAGGATTTCTAGAGTACATGCGTGTATTTAATGGGTTTTATTTCTTCACATTAATGTTTGTTTAAAACTAACGGCAAAAAGCGGCACACCTTTTTCAGATAAACAGCCAGGTTCTGTGTTTCTCCTGCACTTTGCGAACCTCCACTTGGAATTTTCCAGACCCCTCCACCCCAAGCACTCTCCCTTCCTATCTCACACACACACACACACACACACACACACACACACACACACACACAC